GAATGTGTATTCCAGCAGTTGAGAACGTGGTAAGAAAATCCTCATGACTTTTTAATTGCTTCTTCTTGTGCTTGGTTGCTGTGTATAGTTCTCTCAGATGGGCAATAAAGTCTGCAACAAAGAAAATGGTCCCACCAAAGGGCATCCTAGCACTAAAACTAGCTTGTTAAAAATAACAGTTCAAATGAATCTAAATCCAAACTGGGGCTTTGGGGAGGTACTAGGCTACAGCATTATATACAGTATACACCATATGGTAGGATATCAAACTAAATCTTTCCAAAATGGAGCTTATACTATTCCCTCCAGCCTGTGCTCCCTCCTCTGACTTCTCCATCAAGATCAATAATACAACCATCAGTCCCTCCCCTCATGCCAGGGTACTAGGTATAATCCTAGACTCCCATCTGTCCTTCCAGCCCCAAATCCAATCACTGTCCAAATCTTGTATACTTCACCTCCGCAACCTCCAAGATACAGCCGTTCCTAACCTCGGAAACCACGAAGCAACTTATTCACTCCCTTGTTATCTCTCGCCTTGACTATTATAACTCCCTCCTCATTGGCCTACCAAATCGCAGGCTATTCTCTCTTCAGTCTATCATGAATGCTGCTGCCAGATTCATGCACCTTACTAACCATTCCATGGTTCTATGCCAATCCCTCCACTGGCTTCCCATTGCCCAACGAATAAAATTCAAAACATTAACAATAACATATAAAGCCATTTATAACTCTGCCCCAAATTACATCAGCAATCCTTGTCTCCAAATATCACCCAGACAATACTCTTCTCCTTGCATGACCTCCTCCTCTCTAGCTCCCTTGTCTCCTCCTCCCCCATGCTCACCTCCAGGACTTCTCCAGAGCCTCCCCCATTCTCTGGAACTCTTTACCCCAAACCTATCTCTTCAGGGAAGCCTATCCCGCCTTCAGCTAATAACCGAATCTTCTATTCCTCCTATCAGTTCATCCTCCACAGTTATTACCTTTTCTACCACCAGCCCCTCCCTCTTAGATTGTAAGCTCCAAGGAGCAGGGCCCTCCTATCCCTCTTGTATTGAACTGTATTGTTGCTGTATTGTCTCCTGTTATATTGTAAAGTGCTGAGCAAACTGTTGGCGCTATATAAATCCTGTATAATAATTATAATAATAATATCCCATAAGGCTTAGGTGTATATATGTGCATTCAAACACCTGTACGTTTTTTTTTCTTCAGCTTGTGTATTGTTGAGGAAATTACACTTCACATTCTGTCCTAGAGATGCATCAGGAAATTAAATAAAATCACCCAAAAAATAACTCCCCTCTTAGACAGCTGTCAACAGCACAGTTGTCTCCATTGGAAGATTTTCCCTCTTTGTTATGGTGAGAAATTTAACATTTTGTAACTAAAACAATTTCTGCTACACATGTGGCTTTCTTTCAGAACTGAATGCACTACAAGAAGAACTGGGAGATAATGGGTTTGTCATCTTGGGATTTCCCTGCAATCAATTTGGTCTACAGGAACCTGGAAGCAATGATGAAATTCTCAATGGATTAAAGTAAGTGGGCAATAGTTATCACTATGCGGAATGTTTTCACATGATGCACAGAACAAGAGTTTATGGGAATCCACGGAAGCCAATCGCTTTCTTCCACGTCTTTCAGGTTTTGGTTGCCATTTTAAAAGCATTTGCGATCATTTTAGCTGAGCAGCCTATCATTTTCTGCCCTTCTTTATATGTTTTCCCCCTCTCCAATCAACTTTTTAATCAAGGTACGCTGTTCTTCTGAACAATGTCTGGAACCACCCATTTTCCTCAGAATTTCAGCAACATTTGCTGCCTTCCTTCCTTAAATAAGGGCAATAATTGCCACCTGTTTTTCAAAGACTGAATGACCTCACTAATAGAACTCCACACTGCTATTATTTTGAACATGCCCCCTTCAATTAGTGATTCAATTACACAGAATCAGCAGCATGCATGTCATGACTGTTGGGTCTGTTGGATTTCTTTTACTCTACTACACCTGCTAGTAAATTATTTGCCATGTAGAAATATCATTTCTACCAAAAACAGTGATTGATCAGGTTAGTGATGTCTGACTGCTATTATTTTGAACACAACTGTGTGTATGTATGTATATATATATATATATATATATATATATATATATATATACATACATACATACATACACACACACCATTTCAGCGCTGAATTCTCATTTGAAATATAAACAAAGCAAAATATATTCATATCAAAACCACATGATATATATCATATAGTCCATGGTAATAAAAATAACGATGCTTATCAACAATCCATTGTGAATTTGTGATTAATCATACAATAAAATGCACTGTAATCTCTGCACTTGATTACTAATTGTGTAAAAATACCTCGCATCCTCTACCAGCCACACACTAAGTCTTACCAAACAAGATGTGACTCTCTCATGAGAAGTCAAACAGCACTTCTTGTAACCATTGGTATAAGATTAGTGGGACTCCGCTCCTTTACAACATGGTTTTCCTCTCAATCTCCATCACTGTCACAGCATAAACATGAAAAAGAGCAAAAAGGTAATCTTCCCAATAGTGTAAATCCTGATGAAACTCTTATTAAAATCAGTTAAAAAACACTTACATTTGCACTGTGTAAAGTATTTCACATAAAACTACAATTCCCAGAATCCTCTGTTAAAAAAAAAAAAGCACACATGCTCAGTGACGTCACGGATTCGGGCTGAGCCCAACGCATTTCATCAAATATGCCTCATGGAAGCTTCACATACCCACTCATTTTATACAGTACAATCAATCCCAAGTCAAAGGAACCCCCTGAATAAGATTACAGCTACTGAAAACCACCGATGGACATTTTACAACAGTGTTCTGAGCCTTGTGATATCTAGAGGATGGACGTGGGAATGCAACATGCTGTACAAATTACCCACAAACAGCATATTTGCTTAAATGAATATAAAAATATATATAAACCACATTGTGATGTATATCAAATAAAAAAACTAAAAATAAGACATATACAAAAATCTCGTATATGAGGAAAAAATCTCTCATATAATTGCAGTCTCTTATAATTAATTGCAGTGCCCATGCTGCCTGCAATATATGGGCAAGACAACTTGGGCTCTGCATGTGTCAGGGATCCCGGCTCCGTCTGCCGCAATCGCGGCTCTGTCCCCCGCGCATGCGCATTGGCGGCAGATCACGCCGGGACACAGGAACTAGGTCCCGGCGAGCCGCGACTGACAGGACGCGCCGCGCATGCGCAGTAGAAACCGCGGGCGCGCCTCAGGCGTCCAATGACAGCCGGGGGCGCGTCCTAGCCAGCCAATGACAGTGCAGGGCGCACTATTTAAAGATGCCCTGCACTGTCACAAATTGCCGCAAGGTCTATATGTGATCCTGAAATACCTGCTCCTGCTGTGACCCTGTTTTTTGACCCTGACTACGCTGCCTGCCCCTGAGATTGACCCGGCTTTGTTCTGACTATTCTACCCACTCCTGTGATTGACCCGGCTTTGTTCTGACTATTCTGCCTGCTCCTGCGTTTTGACTCGGCTTATCCTGACTGTTCCTACGGATTGATTTACCTGGCTGACCCTGCGTGTGACCCGACTACTCCTAGCCCGCCGATTCGGTACCCCGCTTACCCCACGGGGCCACTATCCGTACCACCCTGCTGGGGCCGCCATCCTCTTCACAGCTGGCTCTCCTGGTACCTACATACATCCCCGGAGGCCTCCTCGGCCGCTGGTGGTGCCCGCTCAGAGGTCGTGACCTGGCCCGGGACTGTTTCAAGTCCATCCCCACCATCAGGGGCCCTGGTGAAAGCACAGCCCGGGCTTAGACCCCACGCTCTGGGTAGGTCTACCAGCTGGCAGACGGAGGGCTCCGCCTGGCGGATCCTAACAGCATGTCTGGTTAAACAAACGAGTGTAATATCTGACATCGTTTTAGTGAGCAAAGCATGTCCAAGCAATACGCTTTGGTTCATAATAAGGGCCAAAGATATATTAAAAACTGGTGGGGTGGTTGGATCAGGGGAGAAATATCTAAGATGGAGACCAATTGGATATACAAATTACATGTTTTCTGCCCCATGGACTACATGGAGTGGGATGTGAATGCTTTTATTGATAATAACTAGTCAATTTGTTAGTGGTTGGGGGAATAAGATTAAAGTATGGCTATATTACTGTCTCTTTCTTATCTGTAAAAAGGAAACATCGGAATTAAAATTTGTATTATTCCCTTTTTCTATGAGAGTTTTTCTCATATATAAGAGACATTTTGTATATGTCTTAACTTAATTTTTTTTATTCATTTGATATACTTGTGGTTTTTATATTTTTATACTTTTATATTCATTAAGCAAACACAGTGGCTAAATGGTTAGCACTTCCACCTGGCAGTACTAGGGTCGTTGGTTTGAATCCCAACCACGACACCACCTACCTGGAGTTTGCATGTTCTCCCTGTCCCTGCGTGGGTTTCTTCCGGGTACTCCGGTTCCCTCCCACACTACAAAGACATGCTGGAAGGTTAATTGGCTCCTGTCTAAATTGGCCCTAGTATGTGTATGTATGAATGCAAGTTAGGTACCTTAGGTTGTACGCCCCTTGAGGGTTAGGGACTGATGTGAATGTACAATAAATATATATATATATATATGTGTGTGTGTAAAGCACTGGGTAAATTGACGGCACTATATAAGTACCTGAAATAAATATGCTGTTTATGGGTAATTTGTACAGCATGTTGCATTTCCAGATTTGTCCTCTAGGTGTCCCTAGGCTCAGCTTACCGAATATGGAAGAGTGGGCTGTGTAATATCTGTTTGCCCAGTTGTAAAATGGCTCTCAGTGGTTTTCAGTAGCTGATATCTGGTTCCAGGTTTTCCTTTGACTTGTAATTGTATGTACTACAGCAGGGCTTAAAATTTCAAGTCCTGAGCTACTAGCCAGGCCTTAAGAGTTACTCACCACCAACAAACACACACACAGACATGTACATACACACACAGAAACATGTACACACGTGCACAGAGACACATGTACATACAGACACATGTAGACACGCATATACACAGATACATGTACTTACACAGAAATGCACAGATACATGTACATACACACAGACATATGTACATACATAAACATGTACATGCGCACACACACACACACACATACATGTACATACACGCAGATACATGTACAGATACACACATGTACATACACAGACATGCATACACACACACACGCTGTTAAGTGCTCTCCCCTGAAGCCACCACTGGCTGACAAAGAGGATCATGTGACCAGAGTGAGTTGAAATTAGGTACACACACCTATAAAAAGTTGCAGTACTTCGTTGTTCACTCACAGAGCCGGGTACTGCACTCTAGGGGGAGGCAGAGAGCACAGCACACACTCCTTGCTTTGCTTTCACTGCGCTCAGCTATTGAGCAGTCGGACGACTCCCAGTGCCAATGACAGATCCGGCCTGAGCGCCGAGCCTGCTCAGCAAGACTGCCCTGGGGGACACACTCGCCCCCACCATAATTTCCACTCGCCATTGGCGTGCAGGCAAGTGGAAATTTCAAGGCCTGTACTACAGTATATAAGATGAGTGGCTACGTGCGGCTTCAATGCCCCTGATGACATCATATTTGGTGAAATGAGTTGGGCAGAACCAGAAGCCACGACGTCATGGCGCATGTGCTCTTTGATACCAAGGATTCTGGGAATTGCTGATATAAGTGTTTTATAACAGATTTTAATAAAAGTGTCTTGTGGCTTTACACTATTGTGAGCAGGTTTTTTTCTCTTTTTTTATATTAATGCTGTGACGTGATGGAGAGGAGTCCCACTTGTGATTTCTATGGTTACAACAAGTGCTGTTTGACTTCTCATGAGAGGGTCACTGGTGTGGCTGGTGGAGGACATGAGCTGTTTTTACACAATTAGTGAACAAGTAGAGAGTTCACGGTGCCCTCTACTGTATGGTTAATCACAAATTCACAATGGATTGTTCATAAGCATGAAAAGCATCATTATTTTTCACTTTGGACTTTATATTCATATCAAAACCACATGATAAATTATATTTTGCTTTGTTTATACTTCAACTGAGAATTAAGCGCTGCAATGGTGTGTATATATTAATCTTATAACAATGAACAATCTTGTATGGCTGGCATAAATAAGTTACTAACGCCATCACTGCCCCCTCCCTGACAGTGTGGGGTGATGTCAACTACTGCAGCTGACTCCTCTCCCCATACTCTTCCCTTCTGACTTTGATATGGAACCCTATGTTTGAATTGGAATATACTGTGCATGTAGCACCCTTCTAGTATAGCTGCTAGGATGTACATAATTAGATTACTATAGTTTGCTCTTCTGCCTAACAGGAGAGATAATAGGTCAATTTATCCTCGGCATTCTGCTTAACAGAGTGCTGCAGTCTATTATTCAGGACTGCTCATGATGCTCTGTTGATGTTTAACCCCTTGGCACCAGCGCCTCCTGGCCCTTTAAGGGTTCCAGAAGCCAGGAGGTGGGGCGGGGTTTTAGGGTCATGTGACCGCTATTATTCGCTGGCACGGCGGTCACATGATCGGGAAAGGTCCCGATCAAAAGAGGAGATCGGGACCTTTCCGTGAGTACTGAAGGTGTGTGCTGGGAGCACATATGTTTTTTTTTATAGAATGCAAATGTGCGGCCACTCGGCGTCTAGTTCCAGATGCTGGGAGGCTGCACATTTGCGTTCGGCCAGCGCCAAGAGGTTAGGTTTACCTAGAATTCCTCCTGCCTTCTGGAAAGTACTAGAGCTTTCCAGGACATAGGTGGCAGCTAGGTAAATAAACAGCATGAATATAAATACAGCTCTGGATAATTACAAGAGAGGCTGTCCCCATTGCATGCTGGAAGCTGGTAATTATAGTCTGAGAGCACATGGGCTTGGGGTGCTTCCCAGAGTGGATTGCACCAAGTCAGGGTTGAGGCAGGCCTGCCTCCTCTGGCACCTGCTGCCAAGAGGCCTCATGTAGGTGACCTGAGGGCTTGAAGCTGGATTCAAAGAGTGGCTTTGTTGTGGGATCTCAGGGACCTGGTGCTGTTAAGCCCCCCTCTGCTGTCTTCTAATCAGCTAAGGGCCTAGCTAAAGGGATCACTGACTAGAAAGCCGAAGAGCTCTGTCCACCTGACACTTACTGCAAGGGACTTTGCTCAAGCTTCTTTACTACTACACTGCCATTACAAGAGAAGTCTGCCATCTGCTCCCAGCAAGGGACTTCTCCTTAGGCTCCTTCTTAGAACAGCCAGTGTCCTCAGATTGTAAAAAGTGTTGTTTTAGAGTATCCTACTGCAAACCCCTAACCCTATCCAAGTTCCTATAAAATAAAACTACAAAACAACACCCCTAGACTGGTCTTTGATTCCAATGAGCTAAAAGTGTATGCACCTGGTTGTGGGAAAATACCTTGTGCCTGGCTGTCAGCATTATGGTGGGTAATACTCGGACAATACTCAAGTAGCTCCTGCGGGGGTAGTGCTACATACAAACACTGTCAAAATTGTGTAGAAAGACCAAATGTAACCCAATAAATATATAAGTATATCCAAACTATGAATGATTGAAACCCCTTACCCCACCCCCAGGGTGATTTTTTTTTGTTGTCTCCAGTTTAAGCACTACTGGTATAACCTGAGATGTAACGTTGAAGATCTAACTTGAGAAAACTTAGTTTAAAAGCTTCTGTGCTCTAACCCCATGCCCAAGGTATGATTTCTTTGCTATACTCCCAACATATGAAATCCACACATACGTTTTTCCCCACTTACACCTCCAAATAGGATAAGGATTTGGGTGGTATGATAACTGAAGCCAGCTGGGACCAGCCTGCTGACTAGAAAAAACTAGGTATAGTGGCATGCACCATGTCTGCATATAGATTGGGAATTGCATACATCTCACCCCAACTAGTGTGTATATGCTTTTTTTGTTTGCCCTTAATAATAGTGACAGTATCAGTGTGACATAATACAAACAATACAATACTCTGATGTTGCTTGTTTCTTTCCAACAGATGTGTGCGTCCCGGAGGCGGTTTTGTTCCAAACTTCCAGCTATTTGAGAAAGGAGACGTTAACGGGAAGAAAGAGCAGAAAATATACACCTTTTTGAAGGTACTTCAAATTGCAATGAATTCTGTTGAATGTTCCAAGTAGGTTTGGTGTTTTACAACTTGTTTTTAATTTTTTTCCTACAACACACAATTACCAGCCAGTCAGGTCAGTTTTCAGAGGGCATTTTGTTAGAGAAACCTTATATTTTCTAACCTGTTTTTGACGAGCCTAATGCTACGTCAGTGAGGCCTCCGGAGGACGTGCAGTTGTGTGAAATGGAGTTGAGCAACATCGTGAAAGGCTAGAGGTTGCTCCACCATTCCCTGTTGGTTTGGCAGCCCCTTATGTAGGTTTTGGAAGACGTGATATTAAACTACTACAATATGAGATAATTTATTTTTGATGATGAATGAGTATCTTCTGATGAGTGGAAGCACTTGTACCATCTGAAGGGACAACATAACCAAGGGGAGATGAACAAGCGTTGTATGTTGTTCTATTAGACAGCATATCCTTGTGGTGAGTGCAAATTCTTACCATATGGTTGAGGTTAACACTGAAGGTGTTTGGAATCATGTGTGGTGGAAGCTGGAAGATACATCTAAAAAAAAAATTTTGGGACTTATTTAAATTTTTCTTGTATATTTTGTGGGACTTTAATGTCTTAAGTTATATTTGGTGGATGATTCATTTGAAAGACACTGAGGTGTATTTTCTTTGGTGCATTTTTATTATTGTTTCATATAGCGCTGCAATCACAATTATTTTTAGTATGTGGTGTATGCAGGGGTGTATTTACCACAAGGCAAACAAGGCATTTGCCTAGGGCGGCACTTTTCAGGGGGGGGGGGGGGGGGATGTCCGGAGCTGTGAAGGTGAGTGTCTCTCTCTCGCCATGGGGGATAGTGGCTGGTGTATGGGGGCAGTGGTAGTGGAAGGCTCGGGTGGAGGGCAGGGGTGTTCTTGGTCAATGTCCGCCTCTTTCTCTGTGTGTGGGGGGGCGGCAATTTTTGTGTTGCCCAGGGCAGCAAAAAAACCTAAATACACCACTGGGTGTATGGTATATCTACATTTATTGCACAGCTGCTGACAAATTTATTTTAGAACTAGCGCTGACTTGATATAATTGTGTTATAAAGATAGCCAAAAGTTAACGTTTTGGATAGAGTGGGGGTGTCCTGTCCCAGTGGGACAGCCCAGGACATGGGTACTTTAAGAAAATGTCCAAAATCTCTGGACTCTAGGTAGCCCTATTTGCACATTACATACATGAGATCTGCTTCCTACTCTGCAGTGCTGTATAACAGTTGTTCTCCTGCTCCTTCTCACAATGCAAGTCTTTGGGCCAGCTGACTGACTGGTTTATATTTGCTATATAGCTGATATCTCAGCAGTAAAATGGGGGTTGAGTGATTGTAGGATGGGTGATTGCTCCATCTAGTGGCTAATCTACAAATCTCTATAAATAATACATCAACAAAAATATGGAAAAGATGCAGCAAACATAATTTGAGTCACTTGAATAATTACTTTAGGTAAATACTGCAATAACATCACAAAATATGTGTTGACTGAAAGACTAACTGTCCTTTTAAAGGCACCTGTGAAGGGATCTAAGTGAAAAAAGCTTGCCAATGGTTTGCAAAACAATGGACTGAGATGTAGCCCACATCACTAAATACACAATTTTTCTGTCTTCAGAACTCCTGTCCCCCTGTGGGTGATACTTTTGGAAATCCACAGAATCGTCTTTTTTGGGAACCCCTCAAAGTCAGTGATGTCAAGTGGAACTTTGAGAAGTTCTTAGTTGGACCCGATGGCCGCCCGGTGAAGCGTTGGTTTCCCCGCTCAACAGTCACTCAAGTAAGGCGGGACGTGCTTGCCTACCTGAAAACACAGTCCGGACTTCAGAGAGTCATGATGCTGGGAAGGGATCAAAACTAAACTAACATTTGTGAACATCATTGCTTAATGTTGCCCTGCTTGTTTATATAGATTTATATATTTTTGTCCTCTTATTGCTAAGTGTTTGGGTAGTTGGCAGGACACCTAAGGTAGGCTGAGATACCATCTGTATGAAAGTTGGGTCCTAAAGTACACTAGTATGGGACCTAACTGGAAACCAGGACTTTGGTAGGTTGCTGTTCAGTGCATTCCAGTATCTCTACCATCCTGGGATGGGTCTATAGCATTACCATTGGCTTACTGCTTTCTGCCTGAACTCTGGGGTGATGCTTTAACTGTGCTGGTACTCAATAAACATTGCCTGTTCATAAACAAACTCTAAAGTCTTGCATGTATTTGTTAAGATTTAATAAACATTATGTATGTAGAAAGTTGTTATAACCCATTACTTAAGTTCTTTTCTGTGGAAGTTATATCTGGCAATTCATGAGCAGATATGTGCAGTATGTTACTCCTTAGTCTGTGTTTACACTAGTTACAAAAAAACTTGGCCTGTGTACCTAACAAGTAATAATAAAC